CTAATGACCAGTATCACCCACCTGAAAACTGTGCGCACAAAACTGCAATCATGGTTGGTCAAGAAATGCTCTCAGCCTTAGATGGATTTGGCATTGACAAGATTACAGAATTAATAAAAGAAATATACAACAGTGGTGACATGCTGGATGACTTCCATCTTTGTAAATTACCTAAGAAACCAGGTGTGGATGAATGCAAGCTCCATTGAACAATCAGTTTAATGGCCTACACAACCAAACTAATGATATGAATCCAGATTAATATAGCGTGAAGCAGTATTAGACTGGAAATAATACAAGAATAATGCGGCTTTACCAAGGACACTGAAACAAGAAAAGCAATATTCATGATTTGAATGATATCAGCAAGAGCAATACAAATGCAGAAGGGTGTGCACTTATGTTTTATAGATTACACAAAAGCATTTGACAAAGGATGGCACAATGATCTATTTGAACAGCCAAGAAAACTCAATCTATTTGGAAAAGATGTTAGAATAAACCAGAAACACCTGCGTATGAATAGAATATTAAATGAATAGTTTACACAAAGATAGAAAATGGTGTAATACAAGGATATATGTTGTCTTCAGATTTATTCAATCTCTACTGGAGACCCTATAAAGATTTATATTTGGTGAAAGTACTACACCCAAACATCCCTGACCAAGAGTAGATCAAGCCTGATTGGAGTTCCAGACAATGCTTTGCGACAATTGCTATTTTATCAATATTTGTCTTTTATTTAAACAGGTGTGTGTTTATAAGCAGTAATTAGGACTTTGCTAACCAGACACTTCTCTTTGGCTGAATGGTTAACAGCACATTAGATAAAATTCCATTTTTAGTGCTGATATCTGTTACATTATCCATACATCCAGATTAATTAATATTTATCAACAGGTGGCTCACCTGTTGATTATTTTATTTATTGTTTGATTTGTTAATAAAAAAACTTTCTTTTATATCTCGTTTTGTTTTTCTTCTATTTTGTGTTTCAGATGTAGTAGTTACTTTATTTACACACTGTACATTAAGAATATGTAGTACTTACTATAATAAGACTATGTATTATTTACACTATGTATATCAAGAGAGGGAAAGACATATACATTCCTCATTATATAATAAAAATATGTACTTGATATTTTATTTACTTTAGAATGGTAAAGTGAGAGTCAGCTGCCAGGAACCATGAAGAAGATTCCAGTCTGAAGCTGACGCCCAGATAGAATCAGGTTCGTCAGTATTCTCTGGCACAACAAATTCTTGGTTGCATGTTACACTGGCTATTTTCATTAGTACTGTCTGCTAATACCATCTGTATTTTCACTTCTGCTCTGCTGTCAGTCTCACACTTGCATGGATTGAAAACTTGGATGAAAATCCTGTTGAACAGAAAGAATTGGCCTGATTCAAAGTAATAGATATGGCTGGCATCATTTCTTGTGTAGACAGTGGATAGGTTTTCAAAGTATTTAAGAAGTTCCAATCAAAGAGTCAGACACAGGATTTGCCAAAAGTAGTGAGTGCATTGAGTTTTTTTTTTTTTTAACTTATATTCTCAACTTTGTTGTTATTATCACAAGATTTCAGCCAGTGTGTCCTCCAGTCTTCTTCAAGTGTCTGTCAATCCATGTAACCTTCAGGGAATTTTAAATTGAACCCTTCATTTATCTATGGAGGTAATCTATTCTCATTTTGCTGTCAATGTTTAGGGATAACTTGCCTTATTATTTTTAGTACTGCTCAGTTATTGCTTGCCCTGCTTCCACTGAGTCTAAGGAAATAAAGGGTTCAGTTTAAATTTTCCCTAAAGATTACCTGGATTGACAGATATCTGAAGAAGGCTGGAGGGCATAATGGCTGAAATGTTGCGATAATAAAACAAAGTAATGTGTTGCAAACAATTTTATTTTTATTGATTGATTTGTTTTCTACAGATTATCAACCCTTTTTGGTTATTTAAAGCCAGAAAATAATTTTTTAGATAGTACATTTTTTTTTTGAGATAATAATGGTTTAGTGATGCAGATTTATTCACACAGTCCTAAACAAAAACATTTACTTGAATAAAACAGTTGACTAAATGGAATTGATTGATTGATAGATACATTTTCTATGGCTTATCAACACTTTGTAGGATATTTAAAGTTAGAAAATATTTTTAGATTGTAAGAATTTTTTTTTGGTGGTGGGAAGATAATAATGATTTAATGATATGTTTTAGTAACTAACATATAGGTGGGATGAGAAGAGATGAATTCATATCTTTCCCAAGGGTATTTGCACATAAGTGAATATAATGAATACAACTAGAATTGGAACTCAGCTCTCCGATTTCCAATTCCGAGCTATTATTCATTACACCAGCTGCACATCCAAGCTTAAAGCACCTGGTATTCCCAAGTGGTCAACCATTGAGGTATTGATCAGGTCTGATGCTGTTTAACTTCGGTGATCATATGGGAACCAGTATTGCAACGTGATGTGGCCACAATCAAATTTTATTTTTAGAAAGTGAGTCAATCTAGGAAGTTTGGGGAGTTCTTGGCTAGGGAGTGTTTAGATGAAGAAAACATATTGAATCGCTCCTAATACATGAAAATGATACAGTTGAAAATAGTATTTCACAATGATTGGACTTAAAATGGCAGGCTATCAAATTTCCATATGATATGCTGGAGTAGAAGAGGCTTGTTATCACAATCTCTTCTGAGAAATAAATAAAATCTTAAAAAAATAAAACATTCTGATTATTGAAAAAAATGACAACCTTTGTAAGGCAAAGACATTTTATGTTGTTGCTATCAGACTTACATGTGCAATGTATGTGGTTGGGTTTATACCTTAAAACATGCAAGCTTGGATTAACTTCCTTTTTAGAATTATATCTCAACTTCTGGTTCAGAGTGATCTCCCCTTTTCAGATATCATAAGTGAACAAAATCTAAATGCTTGTAATGAGTACAGACTTTTGAACTCAAGACCTGTATTTCCTACTGCTGCCAATCTATATATCTAGCATCACACCTGTCAAAAATAACAAGATTATTTATGTATAGAATAAAATCATGGTTAGCTTAAATATTAAATTATTATCTCTGTACCTTTTCTATAAATACTTTCATGATAATAGTTCGGATGAGCTCTTTGTGATGGTACCTAGACTTTTTGAATTTAAGCGCAGTATTAGACTGGCATTGAGATCTCATCAATTTACAGTTGAGCTGGCTAGAGGTAACTGTAAATTCTATGCTAACAGTTTCTTTTCTTGCACTTTTCACTTGTGGGACTTCCTTTCAGCTCCATGCTTTCCAGCCAACTTTAATCTGTAAAAATTTAAATGCAATGCCAATCACTATATATTGTCCTTCTGATTATTTTTTCCTCTTCCCACTCATTATTAATGTTTCTGTTCCTAATTCTTCCACACCCTTTAACCACCTTGTGTCTTAGTGGCTTTACTGCCTTGATTGGCATGATAGTAATTAAAAAAAAAACAACAAAAACTTAAGTATTAAATCCTCATATACTAATATACCAGTAGACAAATGTCTATGGTGTTATGGTATGCCTCCATAAAATCAAAAACAAACCAACTGATCAACAAAGTCATAAAAAACTGTTGACTGGATAAAAACCAATGTTTTTTCAAATTCAATAATTTGGCCTACCTATGGGTCCTCCTCTGTGGTGTAGTAGCATACCTCTTGTTAAAAATCTGGGTATCTACCTCATTTAAAAATATTATACTCAAAAATGCTAAATAGTTTCACTATATAGATGATGTTTTACTAAATACATAAGTTCAAAACTAAATTCAAAGATCTCTTAAATAAACTAACCAAAATCAAACCTACATTTGAATTCACAAAAAAGAAACAAAAAACAGTAGACCTTTTCTTGATATAGTTAATTTGGACTTACAGCAGTTTAAAATTAAACATCGAATAAGAAATACCAATTAAATTTCTATGTATATTACAACAAAAATATGAGATTTGGAATAATTATATGTTGTCATTTAAGGATCTTAGAATCTGCAGCCTTGAAGAAGAAAAATACATTGAAAATATTTTTTTAAATCCTCCACTAGCCGAGTTAAAATGCTAAAAAAAAATGGCTACAAAATCCACAAAACCAAAAATGAAAAAGAGTAGAAAAAACAACAAATAAATAATATATCACTTACAAACTCCATAACTAATGAATTTGAAAGAAATTTATCTAATCTCAATGATTACCGTAAAACAGAGTTAATTTGACATTAGAAGAAGGAGTCTACTAAACCAAATGTAAACAATGGCATATACATTTGAAAAACATCCCAAGATTTAAAAGAAACAATATATGAACATAAATGGAAATTAAAATTTAACATTACGCTCAATACTCTTGTGTTCTACCGAAACCTCCAGTGACCACAATTTTGATCTGGAAAATACCAATTTTAATTAAAAGTCAACATAAGTTACTTAAAGATGCATGAAAGTGCATTGATCTAAGAGTCCCCTATGAATAATACATGACCTGGTATTTCAATATGTCTCCTTTTCTTACTAAATTAGTAATAAAAAAAATGTAGGATATTTAAGAAAATAAACTGAGCTGTTCAAATCTTATTCCTGAAATGATACGGTTAAAGTAGAAATTAGATCTTTGTTTGGTCGCTTAACTTTAATTATATTTCATCTTGCTCATGTTGATTTTGTCACTGGAAAATAAAATTCTTTTTCTGATAATAGTGGATCATTGGCAAAACAAGTGAAGTAAAAACTTTCCAAACTCTCTTATTTAGTCAGATTCACATCCAAATTTATTTATTTATTAACACACCCACACATACACACACCTTCAATAAATCAAGAAACATTTAAGTAACTTATTTAAATGATTTTTGACATGAAATTCTTGAGCCAGTCAATTAGATAATGACTTGAGCTTTTGGTGATTTATTAAATATTATAGCTTTAATATTGACTGCTTTTGGCAGAAGTTTGATAGCCTAAAAAATATGTTAATTCTTGTAATTTTCATGTCTTTTTTTAATCGTATTATCTTTATTGTTATTATGTATATTTAGAGAGAGCATATGTTTCTAATGACATTTCTCGAATATTCAGGCCAGTAGATGATAATAAATAAATATATTATTTAATAAGTAAAGCCTCTACATATAAAAATACTCAATGTCCAAGATAGAACATATGTAAATATAAAATTGGATACTGAGGTCAACACCATGTGACCTGAAAATTGTGTTCAGGCATGAAACAGACTATCACTGCTTGGTGTTGACCTTAGTGTCCGCTTTTGCTTGAAAGCACAAAATTTGGTTTCACCTGACTGCCTGCTCTTTGTGGCCAAGTTGGTTAAGGCATGCTGGGCTTAATGGTAGTTTCCTCTGCCCTGAGGGATGCAGGTTCAATTCCTGCCAGAGAGCACAATTTTTCCTTCAATACAATTTCTTGAAGAGAACATTTCGGGTGATATTTAAAAATAAAATATACTCTTTAATAAATAAATGGAGCGCTTACTCAAATACAAAAGTTTTGCAATGATTAATTAGCTGATAATCAGTAATTATATCAACATTTTACAGTTAATTGGTTATTGATTTTGTTTGATTTTACTGATTAATCATTTTTCATACTCATTCCTCATTACATCACAGAAATTTTATCATTTGTATTTAAATGAATTTAAATAATATTCTGATAGATTTTAATTTTGTTTTTTTTTTGTTAATCTGTATTGAGCGTAATTAAATTAAATTACCGATCATCAACAGATTAATCAGTACAATATATATATATATATATATATATATATATATATATATATAAATGATTTGATAAATCAATATAGAGTATTGATTTCTATATCTACACTGGTTTTACCTTCATAAATAATATCCTGACATCAATATCAAGCAATCTTTACCTATAAATATAACAAATTTTAAATAATAAATATGTGTGTGTGTGTGTGTGCCTCATTGAATAATTTAGACAAATTTTGTCTACTTATTTTTAATAGGATCCTCTCATATTCAAGTTGATACATATTCATTTATTCCAAGTACTTTTGACATTAGCACAATGTTATCATCAGGGTGTAGTTTTTTATTTCTAATACAAAATTGTTGTGTTCATCTGAAAGTTAAATGTTTTTAACTGTGAAGTAAAAAATGCTAAGGTTATGTACTGAGCAGTTGAGCATTCAAAGAAAAGTAATCTCACTGTATGAAGCAGTCTATTAATGAGTAAATAATCAAAGAAGGTTATTTTTATGTGTATGTATACACATACTTTATATATACAGACATACATATATATATATATATATATATATATATATAAATAAGGGAGGCATTGTGTGTGTGTGTGTGTGTGTGTGTGTGTGTGTGTATATATATATATACGGCGTTGCCCGTGCTTGATTCAAAAATCATACGACTCATACAGTAATCGCTATCACTTGACTTAAAATATTTTGAATTTTTTCTAAGCTCTATACTAAACATTAAATCTGTTATGAAAAAAGAACTAAACAAAATGAACACAAAATGATCAGCTTTAAAAAAGGACTCGTAACTGGAAAAACCGAATGAAAAAAGAATGTTAGCAAGAAATACTTTTTCACACCCAACCCAGTTCTGCGGAATCAGAATCAACGTTGAGTTTAAGCAAGCGAATGAGCCAATTGGAGTAAAGTGCCATGCAGATTTAAATTTTTCCCACTTGTGATGAATGCAGCTATCGATTATTTTTGCATGCTAGCATGCTAGTTAACATTCGGGTCAGCCAGCTATAGGCTCTCACTCTGGCCAGTAGAAAAAGGCTGCAAACTACATGAAAAGTGCTGTAGAAGCATGAAAAAATCGATTATTTCCACTATTGATGGGAGTTGGGAAATGCAAAGTCGGTCTGCACCTTCCCGCTAACTTGGAGCATGTGCATTTAAATTTTGGTGCAAATCCGTCAAAAATTGTGAACGTGCATTCGTTATACACACACACACATCCTGCCTTTTATTTATATATATATATATATATATGGTGGAGTAATGGATAGCAGCTTGTACAGTTGAATACATCACATTCACTTACGTGTTAATACCCCTGTAAAAGGTATGAATCCTCTTTTTCTCCCTCCAGCTAAGGGTAAATATCAGGACAGAATGGGTTCTATAGCCTTGGATGGCAAGTGGTCTAGGAGAAGGACAACTCTGAATTCAAAACTTGCAGAGGGTCATTTGGGGACTTTGTTGCATGTAGTACATCAGGTCTTTGTATTGGGCCCTTCAAAAAATGTGGATGGTTCTGCAGAAAACCTTCACCATTATAATCGAATCACATGTGCTAATGTTGGGTTGTCGGTTCCTTGGAACTGAGCTGCTTGACCCTTGAGTCAAATATATATATATATATATATATATATATATATATATATATTTACGTATGTAAATGTGTGTGTATTCTGATTTCCTAACATT